ACAAGGAATTGGAATTCAGTGTAACCATAGTTGTTTGTGGTGTCTCTTTTTGATTTCACACGAGAAAATTCGGATAAAGTGTGACAATTGACCGCATTTTGAATATCACTGTGTATTCAAGGCTGAAGCTGTTTGAATGTTTATAGACATAAAGGGACACTTGGCTGTTTGAAAGTCGAGGTCATTCCTTTCTCATAGGTTTTGGTCACCATGGATATTTCTGCATAAACAAGGCAACCTCACTGGTCTGCTTTGTATTAACTGCATGTGGGTAAATCAGTGGAAGGGAATTGGATATGTAAGGTTGTTAAGGTTAACTCAAACTTCTTGACCAAATCACCTTGTATTGATTTTGCCGACCCAAACAGAAATTATCATTTGCATAGACAGATCCGCAAGAAGGGACGCACCATTGGTACCCATGATGATGCCTACTTCTTGCTTCACTGACTGACTGAGTTTGGTTTTACGCCGCTTTTAGCAATATTCCAGCAACATCACGGCGGGGGACACCTGAAATGGGCTTCACACATTGTGCCCATGTGGGGATTCGAACCCGGGTCATCGGCGTGATGAGCCAACGCTTTAACCATTAGGCTACCCCACCGTCCCACTTCTTGCTTCAAAGTTTAATGTTTTAACTTCTAGGAGGGGCATTTTAAAAGTTGGGAGGTACAGTATAGACAAAATTTATAGATAACAGCTTATTTTATTACGTGAGTGTGACGTTTTGATACAGATTCTTGTAGCGTGGTTATTCCTGCTTGACAACGGGACAAGAATCTGTATTGAAAGGTCGAAATAAAGTTGTTATCCATAAAATTTGCCATATTGTAAATGTTTACACTGAAATGTAACGTAGATGTAATGGGAAAGTCCATTTTTTAACTTATTACTTTTTCAGTAAACGTCAGATGATATTTACTTTCAATTGTGACAAATGAAAAAGGTACATATATCGGTATATCGTTACTAACAACTTGTATAAACAAATCACCATGGATACACAAATGAAGTTTTCACTTAGATTTTCATGAAGTATAGTGTGCAGTTGGAAAATCAATTGATTTAACACAATGAAACCCTTTCTTGTCCTTTTCTCTTTACAGCAGCCGTATGGTATTGATTCTACCTTGATGGGAAGCCTGGAGTGCTGCAAGGTACATAATATACTCTCCCCAAAAAAGAAATGCATAGGTGATATTGGTATGTTTCACATTTTTTCCAGAATTAATGCTTGATTGTCATAATTCCGCCATTATAGTGCTGGTTTGTGTACATGGAACGAATGCATAGTGCACAGCGGAAAAACGCATCTTAGGAAATTTTGCATGAACTTGCATGAAAATGTCATGTAGAAAAAGAGAATCGTGGGCAGGGACACTGCCTATATATAAGGTCGTTTTGCTTTTCATTGGTGACTGACATTTTTTCACCAGCAGTGTTAAAGTGTTGCAGTGGCCTAGTGCAGCAGTGTTAAAGTGGCAAAGTGGTTTAATGCAGCAGTGTTAAAGTGGCAAAGTGGTTTAATGCAGCAGTGTTAAAGTGGCACATATGCTTAGTGCAGCAGTGTTTAAGTGGCGACGTGGCCAAGTCAAAACATTGATTACACAAGAGTCTCGTTTCCTGCTGACTGGGTTCCGTCCTATTCCGCAACAATAACCAGTCCAGAATTTTGAGACCAGTTCATTCAACTGGATACATAAATATTCAAATATTTGATACATTTAACCACTTGTATATTGCAACACAACGCTCCTTCTAATCCTTGCAAACACGTCGTGCAGGGTGCTCTGTCGTACAGCGTTCTCTGACAAACGGAAATCTGGAAGTCGTGGAAATCTCAAAACGAGGCTCTGCAGCTAGAAAAGTTTGGAGGTCTGGTACGGACTTGATATTATATCAATCACATTTGCGTTACAAAACTACTCTGAATAAGCGCAAAGAACACATAGTAGGTGTAACCAGTGAGCCAGATGAATTGTGAATCATTTTACGACCAGATCAAACAGGGGCAGTCTGTGACGTCTTAGTGCAACTGTGTTAAAGTGCCGCGATGGCTTAGAGCAGCAGTGTTAAGTTGGCACAATGGTTTAGTGCAGCAATGTTAAGTTGGCACAATGGTTTAGTACAGCAGTGTTAAAGTGCCGCGGTGGCTTAGTGCAGCAGTGTTAAAGTGTTGTAGTGGCTTAGTGCAGCAGTGTTAAGTGGCATATATGCTTAGTGCAGCAGTGTTAAAGTGGCACATTCGTTTAGTGCAGCAGTGTCCAAGTGGCACATATACTTAATGTAGTAGTGTTAAAGTGGCACATTGGCTTAGTGCAGCAGTGTTAAAGTGGCACAGTGTCTTAGTGCAGCAGTGTCAAAGTGTTGCAGTGGCTTAGTGCAGCAGTGTTAAAGTGGCACAGTGACTTAGTGCAGCAGTGTTAAAGTGGCACAGTGGCTTAGTGCAGCAGTGTTTAAGTGTTACAGTGGCTTAGTGCAGCAGTGTTGAAGTGTTGCAGTGACTTAGTGCAGCAGTTTTAAAGTGTTGTAGTGGCTTAGTGCAGCAGTGTTAAAGTGGCACAGTGGCTTAGTGCAGCAGTGTTTAAGTGTTGCAGTGGCTTAGTGCAGCAGTGTTAAAGTGGCACAGTGGCTTAGTGAAGAAGTGTTTAAGTGTTGCAGTGGCTTAGTGCAGCAGTGTTAAAGTGGCACAATGGCTTAGAGCAGCAGTGTTAAGTTGGCACAATGGTTTAGTGCAGCAATGTTAAGTTGGCACAATGGTTTAGTACAGCAGTGTTAAAGTGCCGCGGTGGCTTAGTGCAGCAGTGTTAAAGTGTTGTAGTGGCTTAGTGCAGCAGTGTTAAGTGGCATATATGCTTAGTGCAGCAGTGTTAAAGTGGCACATTCGTTTAGTGCAGCAGTGTCCAAGTGGCACATATACTTAATGTAGTAGTGTTAAAGTGGCACATTGGCTTAGAGCAGCAGTGTTAAAGTGGCACAGTGTCTTAGTGCAGCAGTGTCAAAGTGTTGCAGTGGCTTAGTGCAGCAGTGTTAAAGTGGCACAGTGACTTAGTGAAGAAGTGTTTAAGTGTTGCAGTGGCTTAGTGCAGCAGTGTTAAAGTGGCACAATGGCTTAGTGCAGCAGTGTTAAAGTGGCACACTGGCTTAGTGCAGCAGTGTTTAAGTGTTGCAGTGACTTAGTGCAGCAGTTTTAAAGTGTTGTAGTGGCTTAGTGCAGCAGTGTTAAAGTGGCACAATGGCTTAGTGCAGATGTGTTAAAGTGGCACAGTGGCTTAGTGCAGCAGTGTTAAAGTGGCACAGTGGCTTAGTGCAGCAGTGTTTAAGTGTTGCAGTGGCTTAGTGCAGCAGTGTTAAAAGTGGCACAGTGGCTTAGTGAAGAAGTGTTTAAGTGTTGCAGTGGCTTAGTGCAGCAGTGTTAAAGTGGCACAATGGCTTAGTGCAGCAGTGTTAAAGTGGCACAGTGGCTTAGTGCAGCAGTGTTTAAGTGTTGCAGTGACTTACTGCAGCAGTTTTAAAGTGTTGTAGTGGCTTAGTGCAGCAGTGTTAAAGTGGCACAATGGCTTAGTGCAGATGTGTTAAAGTGGCACAGTGGCTTAGTGCAGCAGTGTTTAAGTGTTGCAGTGACTTAGTGCAGCAGTTTTAAAGTGTTGTAGTGGCTTAGTGCAGCAGTGTTAAAGTGGCACAATGGCTTAGTGCAGATGTGTTAAAGTGGCACAGTGGCTTAGTGCAGCAGTGTTAAAGTGGCACAGTGGCTTAGTGAAGAAGTGTTTAAGTGTTGCAGTGGCTTAGTGCAGCAGTGTTAAAGTGGCACAATGGCTTAGTGCAGCAGTGTTAAAGTGGCACAGTGGCTTAGTGCAGCAGTGTTTAAGTGTTGCAGTGGCTCAGTGCAGCAGTGTTAAAGTGGCACAGTGACTTAGTGCAGCAGTGTTTAAGTGTTGCAGTGGCTTAGTGCAGCAGTGTTAAAGTGGCACAGTGGCTTAGTGCAGCAGTGTTTAAGTGTTGCAGTGGCTTAGTGCAGCAGTGTTAAAGTGGCACAGTGGCTTAGTGAAGAAGTGTTTAAGTGTTGCAGTGGCTTAGTGCAGCAGTGTTAAAGTGGCACAATGGCTTAGTGCAGCAGTGTTAAAAGTGGCACAGTGGCTTAAGTGCAGCAGTGTTTAAGTGGCACAGTGTTGCAGGACTTTAGTGCAGCAGTTTTAAAGTGTTGTAGTGGCTTTTAGTGCAGCAGTGTTAAAGTGGCACAATGGCTTAGTGCAGATGTGTTAAAGTGGCACAGTGGCTTAGTGCAGCAGTGTTAAAGTGGCACAGTGGCTTAGTGAAGAAGTGTTTAAGTGTTGCAGTGGCTTAGTGCAGCAGTGTTAAAGTGGCACAATGGCTTAGTGCAGCAGTGTTAAAGTGGCACAGTGGCTTAGTGCAGCAGTGTTTAAGTGTTGCAGTGGCTCAGTGCAGCAGTGTTAAAGTGGCACAGTGACTTAGTGCAGCAGTGTTAAAGTGGTTCATATGCTTAGTGCAGCAGTGTTAAAGTGGCACAGTGGCTTAGTGCAGCAGTGTTAAAGTGGCACAGTGACTTAGTGCAGCAGTGTTAAAGTGGTTCATATGCTTAGTGCAGCAGTGTTAAAGTGTCGCAGTGGCTTAGTTCACCAGTGCTAAAGTGTTATCGCCCAACGTTTGCATTTAATGTTTAACCTGCGACCTTCACACGTGCATCTAAAGGTCATTCGGGTAAAAACAAGTGTCCTCGTGATACCACTGGTATATATCGGGGTAAGTGTTCCTGTTATTGTCAATGTCCAAGAGTTTCCTGCACATATCACACACAGGTTCGGAAATATACTGGGAATGCGTGTACATAAAAGTTGGAGTTGGTCTGTATGTAAACGTTTCATCCACTGCCATAAAGTCATCTTTCCTTTTCAAAAAATTAATGTATTCAGTCTTATCGTTGTGTAGTCGTTTCAGATAGGCCGCCAGATCATTTACACTTGTAAAATCATCTGTATTTATAAACGTTCCCTTTGGGAGGCTTTCCAAAAACTGGACCCCTCCCCTGCTACAAGAATGACATCTTTGTTGTACATATGGAAGAACTTTTCAGTGACGTAGTCTTTACAGAGAGAGTTTTCAAATGCTAGATAGAAGGAATAATTCCTAGATGCCAAGTCTTCACAGGTTTCTGATCCAACTTTACTTCTGTTCCCGCATTTCTTTCCACAGTCTCCAAATATCTCGACTTGGATACCCTGCTCTACCAGTCGCTTGGCAAACTCTTCACGCTTGCTCTGACTTGAACAGTGACTCACCAGCCAACCCGCCATCTTGGTTTTACTTTCTGCTATTTTACGATAATCTTTCCTGGCTGTTTTTGGTTTTTTGCGGATAATTCCGTACGGTAACCACACGTCGGAATCTCGTCGGTAAGTGCAGGTCCAGTTAAAAGAAGCCCTCCATCTGTCCATTCTGTACACACTCGATCTGACGTAGATTGGAGACTCTTGAGCGTAAAACACCCAGGTTTGTTCTGGGTATCTGGGCGGTTTATTGTCAGCTCTAATTGCACGATGAACATCAAATACAACGGCATCTGCACGAGGTAGCAGTTTCTCGTCCGATGTTTCCCGACAGTTTAAATGAGGACAGTTCTTCAAGGGACGTAACTCTCCTTCATTTGTAGGTTTGACATAATTTGGTCGCAAATACCATAGTATCAGTTTAGTTGTATTCTTCTCATCACCTGTTGTACTTTCTAGAAATCCTGACTTGGAATTTGATTTTGAGTTCAACGAATCTGAAATAAAGGCGGGTCTGAGCACAGCATTATCATAGTTAAGGTGGATCTCCGTGTCAGTTGTAACCATCTTGATCATCTTGTCCACACTTTTCTTGTGAACCGTGTTTGCCCACTGGGCCATCTTTGTCATCCCAGTAGAGAAGGAGCCTGACAGGGAGCATGCCAGCAATGCCGCAGCTGCAACACTGAGACAGATTATAACCTTTCTCCTGGGTGTCTTTGGGATGTGCATCTGTAAATGGAAGGAAATCACAGATTGCATGATTACATATAGAACACATTCTAATAATAGAAGATACATGCCAGCATCTTTGTTCTTCCCTCAACCGTTTGTATTAATCAGTTTTAACGGGAGGACGTTTTTAAGCTAACGTGGAGGCTCTTCACGGATTTTACACTACTCATATATATTTGCCAGATAATCCCTCGGCCAAAACCTATGATGAAAACAAGGCATGACATAGTTTACGCCATTTGGAAAGTACTCGGGATTGCTGCCCTCAACTCAGCCTTTTGACCCTTCTGGGAGGGAGTCTAAGGTTTTGGGTGGGTTCGACTTGGCAGCGCTTACTGTGAGAAGACCCACTCGAGATGGCTGTCCGGGCTGCGGCACAAATTCTTCAGTGTGCAAAATGATCCATTAATATGGCCAGAAATTCCACGAATTATTAACTGGCTAATTATTAAAGCATTACAGGGGAAAAGCAATACAAATATACTCTACCCAAAAAGAAACGCATCATGAAAATAGCAATTTCATGTAGCAATGAATTAAAACGTGATTCATTTTACAAATGGTTTTGCTCTGTTTATGAGTCCTATGGTGTTTATGTTTTGAAACATCACAACAAAACGCACCATCCGTAAAATACCCGTATTTAACAGCATGATTTTCAATTTCGACGTGTAGTGTCACAGAATACACAATTCACATGTAATGCACGTGAACGTTGGGGATCAGATAGTCTCAATGATGGGTATAAAAGGTTGATCGCTGTCTGTCGATTTTTCACTGTATTTGGAATATTGTTGACGAACGCCAAATGCCACGTCTAAGTGAAGCCGAATTGGCGTAGAATCTGGTTCAGTGATGAATCACGATTTCTATTGGAACGACGCGATGGAAGAATGCGGGTGTACAGACGCCGACGTGAACGTTTCGCCGACGCTTGCGTTCCCCAGGTGGACAGATTCGGCCGGGGCAGTGTTATGATGTGGGGAGCGATCACCTGCCGTGCGAGAAGTGATTTGGTGATGATCCAGGGCAACCTGACAGCTCAACGGTACTGTGACGAAATCCTACGCCCACACCTCCTTCCAATCATTGATCGCCAGAGGGAGTTATTTCAACAGGACAATGCCAGGCCCCACAGAGCACATCACACTAGAGACTTCCTCTAGAACCACAACATCAATGTGCTCCCTTGGCCCTCAACATCACCGGGCTTAAACCCGATCGAACATCTATGGGATGCCCTGGACAGACGGGTGCGACGCCGTAACCCTCAGCCCCAGACACTTCAGCAACTCGCACAGGCACTGCAGGCAGAGTGGGCTGCGATTGGGCAACACGAGATTCTGAGACTTATTCGTTCGATGCCGAGGCGGGGCGGTGGGGTAGCCTAATGGTTAAAGCGTTGGCTCGTCACGCCGATGACCCGGGTTCGAATCCCCACATGGGCACAATGTGTGAAGCCCATTTCTGCTGTCCCCCGCCGTGATGTCGCTGGAATATTGCTAAAAGCGGCGTAAAAACCAAACTCAGTCAGTCAGTCAGTCGATGCCGAGGCGATGCCGTGCAGTTCTGGATGCCCACGGTGGTCACACGAGGTATTTACATCAGCGCCACCACACGTCTCCATGTGACACTCAAACTGACTTTCCTCGAGTTGGTGCCAAAGACGGTTAAGTCTGCATTCCCAGTGTGCAATTTTGCTATATTTCATTGACTCATAAAGCCAACAAGATGTTTCAATATTAACATAAAAATACAGTTGAAATTCCTATATGCGTTTCTTTTTTGAGAGAGTATATATGTATTTCTGATAGTGTGTTGTAAGGTGTGTGTTGTGAAATGTGTAGTGAAATGTGTGTAGGGAAGTGTGTGTAGGGAAGTGTGCAGTAAAGTGTGTGTTGTGAAATGTGTAGTGAAATGTGTGTAGGGAAGTGTGTGTAGGGAAGTGTGTGTAGGGAAGTGTGTGTAGGGAAGTGTGTGTAGGGAAGTGTGTGTAGGGAAGTGTGCAGTAAAGTGTGTGTTGTGAAATGTGTAGTGAAATGTGTGTAGGGAAGTGTGTGTAGGGAAGTGTGTGTAGGGAAGTGTGCAGTAAAGTGTGTGTTGTGAAAAGTGTAGTAAAGTATACATAGAAAAGTGTATGGAAAGTAGTTACAGTCTATATAGACAATGTTTGGGTTAGAAGGTCACTGTAACTGTAGGGTGTGGATGTCCATGTATGGTGTGTACTGTTAAATTGTCTGTAAGTAGTATATAAACTAGGCGGCAAAAGAAAGTATAGGTCAAGTTTGATGATCCGTAAATAGACACAAAACGAGATGTTGGGTTCAAGCATTACATTATATGGAGAATTGTTCAGTGACATTTTGGACGAGATACTGTCAACAGATGACTTGTGAGCAGTGGTTGAACATTAGTGGATTCGAAAATGCTGTTTTCCTGCGATATGTGAACAGTCAAAAATGATTGTCACGTTCGCTACAAGTTCATGTAAGAAACAATTACAGTCTTTGTACCGCGTATGGCCCCCACATGCCTCAATGCATGCCGTAACTCGTCGTCTCATCGATGACGTCAGACCATGATGATGTTTGGTGGAATCCTTTTCCAGTCCTCCATCAGGGCCTCCTGTTGGGTTGTAACTGGTGGTCTCCCTGTTCTCGGCCTGTCCTCAGTCCTTCCTGTCTGCCGGGAACGTTGCAGAAGCTCGGATACCGTCAGTGGCGTACACCCGAACCTACTGGCAATGTATACCTATGTTGCCCCCATTGCGGCCATACCAATGGCTCGTTCTCTTTTCCTCACGTGTCAATTTCTTTCTCTTCTCTTTCAATCTCATCTCTCTTTGTGCTTTTATCAGTTGTGTTACCATGTTGTGCAGTGATCACATTTATACACCACCTAGGCACGTGCTTTTCGTTCTACAGGCTTAAAGCCTGTTTTACCAATTTCTCGTGTCAACGTGGCATCGTGAGTTGTGTTGCGTTTCGGCCATGTTATTTCCCTTCTCAGTGCTTAGGAAACAACTGTCAGAATACCTACTGTTCACTGTGAATCATATTTTTTTCAGGAAACCAACATTTGCCAACCTATACTTTCTTTTGCCGCTTAGTGTATATACAGACAATATGTTTGGGTAAGAAGGGATGTACACTGCATTTGTTGGGGTGTGGGTATTCCGTGCACATGTTTGGTGATGCGGTCGTTCATTCTGATGCACAATCCAGTGGATCAATAGAATGGGGTTTCCCCCCTTTCAGTAAAGACAGACATAAACCGTACCTTCCTGTCAGTGTACCTGAAGTCCTGGAGGTAATGCCACGTGTTTGGCGCTGTACATCTTCCTCAACTTCCACATGTCTTCTCTACGTTGTTGATGTCCCACTGATCTGCAGCAGAAAACGTGATTATCTATGTGTTAGAGCTGACTGGTTATAATGTCACACATAAGGAATAATCTGTCAGGACATCTACTGAAAAGGAAACCATTTACTTCATGGATAGATAATGAAATGAAAGTGAACGAATATTGTTGTATGACACATCAAACGAATATCGAGACGCATACTGTAAATATAGTTATAGCAGAGGACGACAGGTGAATGTCGAGACGCATGCTGTAAATATAGCAGAGGACGACAGGTGAATGTCGAGGTATATGCTGTAAATATAGCAGAGGACGACAAGATCCACAACGGCCAACAAAGCCCTGGCGTGATGGCCCACTAATCAACCAGGTATGTAATAAGACTAAAATAGTACCTACCGAAACAACAGCATGAGAAGGATGACTTCCATATACCATATTCCCAACAGACTGGTAAACAGTCTTACGCTGAAGCACTAACATTGTCTGTTTGGCGTTCACTATTTTCGAAATGATCGGCAGAAAATCACGTCGTCCATGAATACAAGTCACCGGGTTTCAGCGGAGAAGGAACGCGGTGTCAGCCGTCTGTCCGTGTAAGACGGAAGAGGACATCGCCAGCTTCCCGGATTAGACGCTCTTTACCCAGTTAATCCGCCACACATTATAGGCAGCCCTTTTTAAACCGGATAATAATGATTTCTGACCAAAGGATTGCACTAATTCAATGACTGAAAACAAAAGCGTTGTCAACATTGGAGTATTTCTTTCGAATCCCGGCTGATCTTCCGACACAATGTGATTGCACTTAACATATTGTGTTACACGATGACTGGTCTGTACACAATATCCATGGGCAGGCTAACATAGTTATAGGTTTGTCATTTTCTGTTTTCAGATAGTCTCCATGTTACTTATAATTTAATTTGATTAAACCCAGGGACCAGTTTTAGGCCAGTGTCTCGTTAGAATAGCCAGTGTCTCGTTAGAGGCTGAACCATAAAATCATTGTTTACATCATGAGGCTGAACCATAAAAATCATTTATTTATCACATGAGGCTGAACCATATCATTTTATATCATGAGGCTGAACCATAAAAATCATTATTTATAATCATGCGGCTGGAACCTATGTGAACCATTATTTATATCATGAGGTTGAACTAAAATCATTATTTATATCATGAGGCTGAATAGCTAGTAGAGGCAAAAGTCTAGAAGAACAGGTTTAGTCGCGTTATAGACCCACTTCCAATGTATCTATACCCTATGCTTTCTTGGTTTGAGGTTTATCAATTATTCCCCCTGTCTCCTTGACAACAAAACTATAGTTAAAATCATTGTTCACATCACGAGGCTGAACCATAAAATCATTATTCACATCACGAGGCTGAACCATAAAATCATTATTTATATCATGAGGCTGAACCATAAAATCATTTATTTATATCATGAGGCTGAACCATAAAATCATTGTTTACATCATGAGGCTGAACCATAAAATCATTTATTTATATCATGAGGCTGAACCATAAAATCATTTATTTATATCATGAGGCTGAACCATAAAATCATTATTTATATCATGAGGCTGAACCATAAAATCATTATTTATATCATGAGGCTGAACCATAAAACCATTTATATACATAATGAGGGTGAACCACAAAATCATTATTTACATCATGAGTGTGAACCACAAAATCATTATTTACATAATGAGGGTGAACCACAAAATCATTATTTACATTATGAGGGTGAACCACAAAATCATTATTTACATTATGAGGGTGAACCACAAAATCATTATTTACATTATGAGGGTTAACCACAAAATCATTATTTACATAATGAGGCTGAACCACAAAATCATTATTTATATCATGAGGGTGAACCACAAAATCATTATTTATATCATGAGGGTGAACCATAAAATCATTATTTACATCACGAGGGTGAACCACAAAATCATTATTTACATAATGAGGCTGAACCACAAAATCGTTATTTACATCATGAAGCAGAGGTAAAAAATCTTCATTCACATCATGAGGGTGAGACTGAACCACAAAAAACATTGTTCTTTTGAAATATTTGTTACTTTTTCTCAAATATCTTTATCAAACGATTTTGAGTTTAAAGACATCGTGATCAGTTCAGACACAAGGTTGTCAGCAACTGGCCATGGGACATCGCAACCGTCACTTGCAACACGAGCTTTTGGCTTACAGCGAGGGTCGGTAGTGGTCACGAACTGTTAATACTTTGTTGAATCACCGCGTTATAAGACGTGTAACGTAACACCACCACAATATCGGTGTAACGTATCACCATAACAATATCGGTGTGCCGTAACCCTACCACAATATCGGTGTGACGTAACGCCACCACAATATCGGTGTAACGTACCCCTACCACAATATCGGTGTGACGTAACGCCACCACAATATCGGTGTAACGTATCACCATAACAATATTGGTGTGACGTAACCCTACCACAATATCGGTGTAACGTAACACCACCACAATATCGGTGTGACGTAACGCCACCACAATATCGGTGTAACGTATCACCATAACAATATCGGTGTGACGTAACCCTACCACAATATCGGTGTGACGTAACGCCACCACAATATCGGTGTAACGTACCCCTACCACAATATCGGTGTGACGTAACGCCACCACAATATCGGTGTAACGTATCACCATAACAATATCGGTGTGACGTAACCCTACCACAATATCGGTGTAACGTAACACCACCACAATATCGGTGTGACGTAACGCCACCACAATATCGGTGTAACGTATCACCATAACAATATCGGTGTGACGTAACCCTACCACAATATCGGTGTGACGTAACCCTACCACAATATCGGTGTAACGTAACCCTACCACAATATACGTGTGACGTATCACCACCACAATATCGGTGTAACGTACCCCTACCACAATATCGGTGTGACGTAACGCCACCACAATATCGGTGTGACGTAACCCTACCACAATATCGGTGTGACGTATCTCCACCACAATATCGGTGTGACGTAACCCTACCACAATATCGGTGTGACGTAACGCCACCACAATATCGGTGTGACGTTACCCTACCACAATATCGGTGTGACGTAACCCTACCACAATATCGGTGTGACGTAACCCTACCACAATATCGATGTGACGTAACCCTACCACAATATCGGTGTGACGTAACCCTACCACAATATCGGTGTGACGTAACGCCACCACAATATCGGTGTGACGTAACCCTACCACAATATCGGTGTGACGTAACCCTACAACAATATCGGTGTGACGTAACGCCACCACAATATCGGTGTGACGTAACCCTACCACAATATCGGTGTGACGTAACCCTACCACAATATCGGTGTGACGTAACCCTACCACAATATCGGTGTAACGTATCACCATAACAATGTCGGTGTACCCTTTGTTCTCGGGGCCTTGGTTTGGCACTTCCTGGTCTCTTGGCGCAGATCGGTAGAGTGCCCGGGAGTCCACTGGGAGCACAGCCCTTCTGACACTCTGGGTAATGCAGAAGGCTGCAGCTGCACTGTTGGGGAGCTTTCATATTCGCCGGAAACTTCTTGGTGAGTTGAACTAGGCAGTGTTTCCTGGGAGAAGTCCCATTCGCTGTCTGGGCTGCGTGTAGAGGGGGCGAGGACCCTGAGCTGATGATGAGCCTTACCAGCCTGACTGTGCTAGGATCACCCGAGCCCTCTCTGCTGCTCTGTAAAACATAATAATATTTTATTCGCCCGAAAGGGAATTTGTTGTACATCAGTTGCTGTGTAACAATACAACACAGTATTTATACAAGGGGACTATGACTTGACACACATAACAAGTAATACATTCAACCACATCAGAGCATGGTATGAGAAATGTACAGTTGGGCAAAAACATATTATTGTAATTGATGTATAATTTAAACATTACTAAATAAAAATGTTAGCACTCAAACAGGTTATAAAGAAGAGTGAATAAAATAACATTGAGGTAAATATTTGATGCAGAAGCTACTAATTTAAAATACAGCGAATAATAAATCAACGGGGCGTAACATGTGAGGTTGACGTATGAGAATAAAACCGATAAAAGTTTAATGTAAATTTACTGGTTTAAAATAGCGATGCTGGTTGGAATAAATGATTTTGACGCCCTGTTAGTTCTGAAAAGTGGAGTTTGGAAGCGGCGCCCTGAAAGTAGAAGTTTATATTCGTTATCAAGAAAATGCTTGGAGTCGGAAGCAATTTTGTAAGCTGGTTTTTCAACATGCTAAACACGATAAAAGAGACTCCTGATAATTTGCTGGCTTGATTGATGATTTTTACTATTTATTTTAATTTGTAGTGAAAGGGACCAAAACCAGCTTTGCATGCTAAAACAGAGAATGCCTTGGATAAAGGTTTTGTAATATAAAACAAGTGTGAAAGAATTGACACAGAAAGGAGTTGAGTTACCGTAAAAAATACAGTGTTTGTTGGCATAATTTGTAGATTCTGTCGGTGTTCACAGGCAATGATGGTGCCGAGATATATGTATTCTGGAACAACTTCGATGCTGCAATTATAAGTCAGAACAGGTCTATACGTAGGTTTCTTCATCCTCAAGTCTATGATCATTTCCTTTGTTTTCTTCGTATCAAGAACTAGGAAGTTGTCATGACACCAATTACAGAACTGTCCTATTGCTTGGTGGTGATGGGAATCATGACACCAATTACAGAACTGTCCTATTGCTTGGTGGTGATAGGAATCATCGTTGTTATTCAGTAATATTAGGTAATTACTTACCAATCCAACTAACGCGGCATCATCGACAAAGTTTACGGTTGGGGTTTGATTCACATCACTTCTGCAGTCATTAGTATATAAAGTAAATAGGACTGGGCAAGTACACATTCTTGTGGAGCACCTGTGTTTAAGATACGTGTTTTAGAGTGTGTCGAATTGACTCGCACATATTGTAGACGGTTGGTTAAAACGTCGTTTATCCAGAGAGAAATGTGTGGATTAACATTCACATCACGCAGTTTCTGTAGCATCAAATGGTGTTGTATTGTGTGGCAGTGTCATAGTTTTACATTTTATTTATTTGTTTAAATACGGTATCATCTTTAAACAGTTTGGTTGTGGTAGTTTTGTTGTTTGGTATTTGTCTCTTGGCTCTATTGTATTATTGTGGGAGTGCATGGTGTTCTTTTGTTTTCAACTCAGGGAGCAAGTTGTTTCTTGATCTGTGATTGGTCAGTTCAATGTTGTCTGCTTTCTTCTTTACTAACATCAGCACATGTTAATAAGGCTACCACATACAGTCGCCAAGGCAAGGTAAATCAACTATATTTAACCATTTTATCAATTACTTTATACTCAACACTCAACATTCAACATTAGCCTTCTAAAGATCAATCTCATCTTAAGAGTAATCCATTTCAGCAATACTTATTTGCACTGCATGTTTTCTCCCCGCAATCCCTTCTAGAGCATGTAGCTTGTTTAGGCTTGTGTGCAGGTTCAATTGTTCTATGATCATCCAAGCGTATAAGGTATTGTTATGAGAGTGTGCATTCTTAAATTTGTAATACCATTGGTTAAGTCATAGTTATTATGGGTCACAATGTTAAAAGTTTTGAGTGTGGGTTTTGGCTCGCATCTCGCATCATATATGTTCAATGGCAATAGTAATTTTAGCGGCACGCCTTTTTGACAGCACTTCAAAGTTGCCTCCCTTGGCAACCTGTTGACTTCATGCCGTGTGTTCAACATGATGCCATATCGTTCCGAGAGAATAATGATGGAACCTAGCTGTGCTAGAATGTTCGAGAACTGTATAAAGGCTGGTTGTTGAGTAGTGCGACGTGGCAGTTTTCACATGACTGGATGTATACACATCTGTCTGCCATCATTAAGTTGTTCAACGTGCTTGTCTATTCAACTGCTGTCATTGAAAACAACCTTCAATCAGTATATTTGTTCTCACTGTAAATATCAAGACTCTGGTGAGTTAATATTTTTTATTTGTGACCCAATATTTTAGATTTGTGACTCAATTGCATTGTACATTGTACTAGAAATCTGTATTGTCATTCATAGTAGTTTGCTCATTGTTTATTCAATATATTATTGAATATTTTAGACTTGTCTGTGTTCTATTTTGCTGGTTCAAAGGGAACTCTTAAACCTTTTGTCACAGCAAATTATTAACCGTAACAGTATTAAGGTATTTAAAGGTTAATTTTATCTAGTCTCCTGGTCAGTATCTTATGTGGTTTTGTCATCGCGCATGTTGTGGTTTGTCCATATTCTATAGGATCTGGACTGTTTTTGCTCATGTATATAAGGTTAGTAATCTGTACTCTTGTGTATATATTCATTGTGGGTTTGTGTGTGTATTTGATAGTTGATACATTGTAGTTATATTGACTGTAGTTTAAAGTATGCTTAATCCCAGTATCCACTATATGTATTAATATTTTATATGGTGGTAACTCACAGTATACGGAGTTATGTTATTGCTATTAGTGTAGATTAGAGTGAGTTATTATACTGTTTTTTAGTTTAAGTGAAGCTCACAGAATAGTGAGCTAGGTTAATGTTAAGGGTAAGTTTGACTCACAGTACAGTGCTATATTAAATAACTATATACATCATAGTATTACATATATTTATATTTATATTTCATCCAAGTATAATATTAGCAATAATCTTATTTTCCATATTTTTATTATATATCAAAGCATTATTACTACTGTCAGCATTAATCCTACCATAAAAGAATGCGTGTGTGGATGTATGTGCGTATGTGTGGTTAGATGTTGTTGTATGTAGCTTTTACCGTAGTTACTCTTTTAATCTTGAGTTGTAAATACCATTATCTGCATACATTATTTAACCATCCTGCAGATGACGTAGACCTCCTGCAGAGGACGCGTAGACATTTGAATGCAGCAGCTCAGGTCATACCAACCTGGTATGTTGTCATTGTTGTTTCAGTTCTATTTATCATTATGAATTATGTAATATATATCATGTGTCATGTTTACATTATCTTTGCCATGTAGTATAATTAATACATGCGTATCATTCATGTGCATCATTAAGTGATGTGTGTTACCATAGAATTATTCATTTATATATCTGTGAAGTTGTCATGGTAATGTGTTGGCAACAGTAGTTATGGTTAGTTACGTACATACATGTACGGAAGTGTGTTTACATTAAGTATTTGGATAAGTTTATTAAGCTATACTGAACATCTTTGAAAACGCACCACCTGTATTAGTTTGGGTTTCCAAGAGCATAAATGAGCAATCGGCGTAAATCTTACATACTTTTGTAATCCAATGATTGGTAAAGAAAAGAAACAAGAACCAATCCAGCAAAACAGTGAAGTTTTAATTCAGCTGACCATGAAAGAAAGATGGAGTCAAACTGGAAAGTCAGTAACGTGTATGACTTCCACTCTTGTTGCAAGGCATTCTCAAGTTCCCCAAGGTTGTTTGATCTGTGGGCGACGTGAGAGGCGTTGGCCGATGTAATCCCACAAGTGTTCAATGGGAGACAAATCCGGTGACAATGCAGGCCATGCAAGTAGAGGAATGTTGTTGTTTGCCAGAAACTGTGTTACAACACGTGCAGTGTGCGCTCGAGCATTGTCCTGCTGGAATGTGTGCAGATCTTGATGTTGGTTAAAGAAGCTAAGGGAACGACGTTGTTCTGAAGAATGGTGACACGGTAGGAAAGGGCATTCACTCTGCCACGACAAACTACCAGAGCGGTTTTGTGATGATAACTGATCTCCCACCACACCATAATGCTGTCTCCACCCCACCGATCTGTTTGCACAACACAGTCCTGATGGTAACGTCTCCCCGTCGACGCCATACCCGTAGACGCCCGTCAACATTTCGCAAGTGCAAACGTGACTCGTCGGAGAACACAACACCATGCCAACGTCGTAACAACCACAAACGATGCTGTTCAGCCCATCGTCGGCGTTCACGACGATGTCTATCAGTCAGGATGGGTCCAACATAAGGGCTTCGACACCGTAATCCTGCCGCACGGAGACTGCGTCGGACGGTGGAAGCACTGATCAAACCACGTCGGCCTTGGACAGCGTTGGCGGTTCTGGCAGCCGGCAACGTACGATCCCGAAAATGGCGCCGAACAATGTCTCGATCTTGGCGAGGGGTGGTAACACGTGCCTGGCCAGAACGTTGGCGGTCCCTGGTGGTTCCTGTTTGTTGGTACCTGTTGGCAAGTCTTATGGTGGTGGAATGATGGCAACCAAATCGTCTGGCAAAAATCCTGTTTGATGTGCCAACCTGCAATATGCCCAACACCCGTTCTCGTTCCTCTGGTGACAATCTTGGCATTGCAAAATAAACTTTACTTGCGGAGGTACGGCTAAAATGAGAACGGTTTTTTGCCGACGGTCATTTATACCCCTAATGTTTTACGCATGCAATTTGTGCTTTTCGTGTGTGTTGTGCAATGAATAGGCCTGAACCAGAGAGTGGGTCCTGTGGTGTTCCAGAACCTTGGTCCAGAAAGAGGAAGCGGCATCACAGCGGTGCGCTACATGGAGCAAGCTCTCAGACCCCACGTCATACCACAGTTCGCATGTCACCGGAACAACATTTTCCAGCATGATAACGCCCGGGCCCATACTGCCAGATCTACACGGGACTTCCTACAGCAGAACGGTGTCAACATTATGCAGTGTCCAGCCCTTTGTCCTGATTTAAACCCAACTGAACATATTCGGGATGAAATTCAGAGGAGACTGAATAATGTCATACCAAGACCGAACACAGCCGATTTATTGCGCCAGGCCTTTCTCAGAGTGTGGTTCCAAGAGAATTTACCATTAGCATTAAATAATATTCCCCAAAATAGATATTCTCGAACAACCTAAATTTCATCACAAAATATTACCAGTTTAAATTTATTCCTATCATAGCCCTTTGAAAAAATTATAATCTTAGTTTTGTCAATGGTAACTTTAAGTTTAACCAAGTCCATCAACATTGTATCTGCTGGTGTAGCTGTGTCATTGAGCTATTGTTTATCGGAAGTGTATTTAGACAATTGCCATTGCTGTTGTTTACCCTAGCCTTTAAGTAGTAGTACGTTGCCATATGCCCAAGTCCATGCTGACCGTCTCATGCTACAAGATTCGCAGTGGCCTTATTCTCTCCAAGCAATCCTTGTAATGGTTTGTGATCTGTCAAGATTGTGAACTTGTGTCCATCCACAAGTACCGTTGACATATCTTCACTGCAAATGCTATGGATAGCCCTTCCTGCTCAAGCTGTGTGTAGTTGATGCAGTATGTCAGATCGCACTGAATTTATCAGTGATTCAGTTACTGAAACTAATATTTTATAATTGCATATTCCAAATAGCTCAATCATAACACATCACTTGTTGAGATGACAAACCTTTATGGATGACCAACTTCCTTTATTTTTCACAATGGCGCCGTTTCGGTACAGAACTCATAGCGTTTTGAAGCACTTGCTATGGATCGATACTTAACAAGAACATTTGTGTTTCTCTATGCTAACTGTATAACATTTCTTTGTTTGTTGGTTCACACTGAATTATTTTGTGCACAGACTTCTGGGTAGACCTACTTTTCCCGCCAAGAAGCCTACACGTAACAGTTCAGTAGTGGTTCAGTCAAGTAGTGGCTCAGTTCAGTAGTGGTTCAGTCCAGTAGTGGTTCAGTCCAGTAGTGGTTCAGTCCAGTGGTGGTTCAGTCTAGTAGTGGTTCAGGTCAGTAGTGGTTCAGGTCAGTAGTGGTTCAGTATAGTAGTGGTTCTGTCCAGAAGTGGTTCAGTCCAGAAGTGGTTCAGTCCAGTAGTGGTTCAGTCCAGTAGTGGTTCAGTCTAGTAGTGGTTCAGTCCAGTAGTGGTTCAGTCCAGTAGTGGTTCAGTCCAGTAGTGGTTCAGTCCAGTAGTGGTTCAGTACAGTAGTGGTTCAGTCCAGAAGTGGTTCAGTCCAGTAGTGGTTCAGTCCAGTAGTGGTTCAGTTCAGTAGAGATTTGGCTTTTTAACCAAAAAGACTAACATAGTTGACAGTTACTATTTAACCTCCGACCTCCGCATCTACAGGTCAGTCGGGGGAACACAGGTGTCCTCGTTATACCACTGGTATATATCGGGGTATGTGTTCCTGTTATTGTCAATGTCCAAGAGTTTCCTACACATATCACACACAGGTTCGGAAATGTAATGGTAATGTGTCCAAAACGAGGTTGGACTGAGTTTGTAGGTCAGAGATTCATCTTGTCCAATAAATTCATCTTTCCTTTTTAAAAAGTTAATGTATTCAGTCTTATCGTTGTGTAGTCGTTTCAGATATGCCGCCAGATCTTTCACACTTGTAAAATCATCCGTATTTATAAACGTGCCCTTTGGGAGACTTTCCAAAAACTGGACCCCTCCCCGTGCTACAAGAATGACATCTTTGTTGTACATATGGAAGAACTTTTCAGTGACGTAGTCTTTACAGAGAGAGTTTTCAAATGCTAGATAAAAGGAATAATTCCTAGATGCCAAGTCTTCACAGATTTGTGATCCAACTTTACTTCTGCTCCCGCATTTCTTTCCACAGCCTCCAAATATCTCGACTTGGATACCCTGCTCTACCAGTCGCTTGGCAAACACTTCACGCTTGCCCTGACTTGAACAGTGACTCAGTGCCCAACCCGCCATCTTGGTTTTACTTTCTGCTATCTTATGATAATCTTTTACCGGCAGTTTTGAGCTTTTGCGGATAATTCCGTACGGCATCCACACATCGGAATCTCGTCGGTAAGTGCAGGTCCAGTTAAAAGAAGCCCTCCATCTGTCCATTCTGTACACAGTTGAACGGACGTTGACTGGAGATTCTTGAGCGTAAAACACCCAGGTCTGTTTTGGGTATCTGGGCGGTTTATTGTCAGCTCTAATTGCACGATGAACATCAAATACAACGGCATCTGCACGAGGTAGCAGTTTCACGTCCGATGTTTCCCGACAGTTTAAATGAGGACAGTTCATCAAGGGACGCAACTCTCCTTCATTTGTAGGTTTGACATAATTTGGTCGCAAATACCACAGTATCAGTTTAGTTGTATTCTTCTCATCACCTGTTGTACTTTCTAGAAATCCTGACTTGGAATTTGATTTTGATCGACGCCCTGCAGTATCCAACTCCACCTTTGTCGTGTCAGTAGACGATCTGCCATACAGGAGGCATGCCAACAACACCACAGCTGTAACACTGAGACAGATTATAACCTTTCGTCTGGGTGTCTTTGGGATGTGCATCTGCAAATGGAAAAAACCAAAACTAATATAAAAATAATGATGATGGTGACGCACACGTGAGCATTACACACACACACACAAACACAAACACAAACACACACACACACACACACACACACACACACACACACACACACACACACATGTACGTGAACATTCCACAAACACCACCCACGTGTTTGTACCAAAGCCTTTCATATTGTTGTTTATTACCCACGAGGTCAACGTATGGGTAGTTGCATACTAATCTCGTACGTCACACGAGTGTCGTATCGCGTTGACCTGTGTCGTAACGACTTGACCTGAGATTCTAACGATTTGATTGGATAACCGATGACTCTCAGTTAGGTCACGTTGTGACGGAACTATTTGTTCATTCATAACAAACACGTGAATTCATTCATTCTACAACTTAGATGCATTGTGGGAATGTAAACATTGCGAACGTTGCCGTGTCGCTGTTTAATTGTGAGTCGAACTGAGACATTATATCCGTCGAAAAACATAAAAGCAATGTTTCCACCAGTGATGTTAACCGAGTGAAGCAGTTGCAAACCAAGAAACGGGGTGCTACGGAGTAGTTTACTGTAAGAGGCTGTACGAGAGGCGATGACAACTGACATGCATCGTGACGTCGGATACCAAGGGGACAGACGAGAATGGCGTAGTGACGTCAATACAGTGTGACGTCATGCAAAAGTGTACTTCAGAACAAAATTGTTCCGCAACCTCTTTATGAAACCGGTTTCGGTTTGAAACCATAATATGTGCTATGACAAAAGCTGCATGTACATGTTATATGGTGTCTGCTATGACAAACACGACATGTACATGTTATATGGTGTCTGCTATGACAAACACTGTATGTACATGTTATATGGTCTCTACTATGACAAACGCTGCATGTACATGTTATATGGTCTCTGCTATTACACACACTGAATGTACATGTTATATGGTCTCTACTATGACAAACACTGCATGTTCATGTTATATGGTCTCTCCTATGACAAACACTGCATGTACATGTTATATGGTGTCTACTATGACAAACACTGCATGTTCATGTTATATGGTCTCTCCTATGACAAACACTGCATGTTCATGTTATATGGTCTCTGCTATGACAAACACTGCATGTGTATGTTATATGGTGTCTGCTATGACAAACACTGCATGTACATGTTATATGGTGTCTGCTATCACAAACACTGCATGTACATGTTATATGGTCTCTCCTATGACAAACACTGCATGTTCATGTTATATGGTGTCTACTATGACAAACACTGCATGTTCATGTTATATGGTGTCTGTTATGACAAACACTGCATGTACATGTTATATGGTGTCTGTTATGACAAACAATGCATGTACATGTTATATGGTGTCTGTTATGACAAACACTGCATGTACATGTTATATGGTGTGACAAACACTGCATGTACATGTTATATGCTGCTATGACAAACACTGCATGTTCATGTTATATGGTGTCTGTTATGACAAACACTGCATGTACATGTTATATGGTGTCTGTTATGACAAACACTGCATGTACATGTTATATGGTGTCTGTTATGACAAACACTGCATGTACATGTTATATGGTGTCTGTTATGACAAACACTGCATGTACATGTTATATGGTGTCTGCTATCACAAACACTGCATGTACATGTTATATGGTCTCCCCTATGACAAACACTGCATGTACATGTTATATGGTGTCTGCTATCACAAACACTGCATGTTCATGTTATATGGTGTCTGTTATTTCAAACACTGCATGTACATGTTATATGGTGTCTGCTATCACAAACACTGCATGTACATGTTATATGGTGTCTGCTATGACAAACACTGCATGTACATGTTATATGGTGTCTGCTATCACAAACACTGCCTGTACATGTTATATGGTGTCTACTATGACAAACACTGCATGTTCATGTTATATGGTCTCTCCTATGACAAACACTGCATGTTCATGTTATATGGTGTCTGCTATGACAAACACTGCATGTGTATGTTATATGGTGTCTGCTATGACAAACACTGCATGTATACATTTTATGGTCTCTGCTATGACAAACACTGCATGTACATGTTATATGGTGTCTGCTATGACAAACACTGCATGTAAATGTTATATGGTCTCTCCTATGACAAACACTGCATGTACATGTTATATGATGTCTGCTATGACAAACACTGCATGTAAATGTTATATGGTCTCTCCTATGACAAACACTGCATGTACATGTTATATGGTCTCTGCTATTACACACACTGAATGTACATGTTATATGGTCTCTACTATGACAAACACTGCATGTTCATGTTATATGGTCTCTCCTATGACAAACACTGCATGTACATGTTATATGGTGTCTACTATGACAAACACTGCATGTTCATGTTATATGGTCTCTCCTATGACAAACACTGCATGTTCATGTTATATGGTCTCTGCTATGACAAACACTGCATGTGTATGTTATATGGTGTCTGCTATGACAAATACTGCATGTACATGTTATATGGTGTCTGCTATGACAAACACTGCATGTATACATTTTATGGTCTCTGCTATGACAAACACTGCATGTTCATGTTATATGGTCTCTGCTATGACAAACACTGCATGTACATGTTATATGGTGTCTGCTATGACAAACACTGCATGTACATGTTATATGGTCTCTACTATGACAAACACTGCATGTACATGTTATATGGTCTCTCCTATGACAAACACTGCATGTACATGTTATATGGTCTCTGCTATGACAAACACTGCATGTACATGTTATATGGTGTCTGCTATGACAAACACTGCATGTTCATGTTATATGGTCTCTGCTATGACAAACACTGCATGTACATGTTATATGGTGTCTGCTATGACAAACACTGCATGTACATGTTATATGGTCTCTACTATGACAAACACTGCATGTACATGTTATATGGTCTCTCCTATGACAAACACTGCATGTACATGTTATATGGTGTCTGCTATGACAAACACTGCATGTACATGTTATATGGTATCTGCTATCACAAACACTGCATGTACATGTTATATGGTGTCTGCTATGACAAACACTGCATGTACATGTTATATGGTCTCTACTATGACAAACACTGCATGTACATGTTATATGGTCTCTCCTATGACAAACACTGCATGTACATGTTATATGGTCTCTGCTATGACAAACACTGCATGTACATGTTATATGGTATCTGCGATGACAAACACTGCATGTTCATGTTATATGGTATCTGCGATGACAAACACTGCATGTACATGTTATATGGTCTCTACTATGACAAACACTGCATGTACATGTTATATGGTGTCTGCTATGACAAACACTGCATGTACATGTTATATGGTCTCTGCTATGACAAACACTGCATGTACATGTTATATGGTATCTGCGATGACAAACACTGCATGTTCATGTTATATGGTCTCTACTATGACAAACACTGCATGTAGATGTTATATGGTCTCTCCTATGACAAACACTGCATGTACATGTTATATGGTGTCTGCTATGACAAACACTGCATGTACATGTTATATGGTGTCTGCTATCACAAACACTGCATGTACATGTTATATGGTGTCTGCTATGACAAACACTGCATGTACATGTTATATGGTGTCTGCTATGACAAACACTACATGTTCATGTTATATGGTCTCTGCTATGACAAACACTGCATGTACATGTTATATGGTGTCTGCTATGACAAACACGGCATGTACATGTTATATGGTGTCTGCTATGACAAACAATGCATGTACATGTTATATGGTCTCTGCTATGACAAACACTGCATGTACATGTTATATGGTGTCTGCTATGACAAACACTGCATGTTCATGTTATATGATCTCTACTATCACAAACACTGCATGTACATGTTATATGGTCTCTGCTATGACAAACGCTGCATGTGTATGTTATATGGTGTCTGCTATGACAAATACTGCATGTACATGTTATATCGTCTCTACTATGACAAACACTGCATGTTCATGTTATATGGTCTCTACTATCACAAACACTGCATGTACATGTTATATGGTCTCTGCTATGACAAACACTGCATATACATGTTATATGGTGTCTGCTATGACAAACACTGCATGTTCATGTTATATGGTCTCTACTATCACAAACACTGCATGTACATGTTATATGGTCTCTGCTATGACAAACGCTGCATATACATGTTATATGGTGTCTGCTATGACAAACACTGCATGTTCATGTTATATGGTCTCTACTATGACAAACACTGCATGTTCATGTTATATGGTCTCTACTATGACAAACACTGCATGTTCATGTTATATGGTCTCTCCTATGACAAACACTGCATGTTCATGTTATATGGTCTCTACTATGACAAACAAACACTGCATGTTCATGTTATATGGTCTCTACTATGACAAACACTGCATGTTCATGTTATATGGTCTCTACTATGACAAACACTGCATGTTCATGTTATATGGTCTCTCCTATGACAAACACTGCATGTACATGTTATATGGTCTCTCCTATGACAAACACTGCATGTACATGTTATATGGTCTCTGCTATGACAAACACTGCATGTACATGTTATATGGTGTGCTATGATGACAAACTGCTATGACAAACACTGCATGTTCATGTTATATGGTCTCTGCTATGACAAACGCTGCATATACATGTTATATGGTGTCTGCTATGACAAACACTGCATGTTCATGTTATATGGTCTCTGCTATGACAAACACTGCATGTACATGTTATATGGTCTCTGCTATGACAAACACTGCATGTACATGTTATATGGTCTCTGCTATGACAAACACTGCATGTACATGTTATATGGTGTCTGCTATGACAAACACTGCATGTACATGTTATATGGTCTCTGCTATGACAAACACTGCATGTACATGTTATATGGTGTCTGCTATGACAAAC